CCGGCCGGCCGCGCCCCGCCCCTCTGGCCGCACCCCTGCCCCTCCACACGAAAGTAAATGAGTCTCTGGAAAGACCAGCGGGCGCCCCCGCCGCATGGAGCCCTAGTGGCGGCTGCCTGGGTGGTCAGGAGAGACTGGCCTCGGTGGTCAGGGCGCCCTCTCCGCAGCCGCGGGCCTGTGCGCCCCCAGCCGTCCCCCTCTGGCTGGGGATCAGCCCTTAGGGCCGCAGAGTCCAGATTCCATGGGAGGGCGGCCAGGCCTGGCCAGGCGGGAGGGAGGGCCAGGCGGAGCTGCTCTGACTCAGCCGTGGCTGCTGCAGGCGCCTGAGGCGCCAGTTTGGGAAAGTGTTTCCAAGGGCACCAGTGTCCTTTCTCGGGCTCAGGGGCCACCTGCCTGGAAGGGGGTGTCCGAGCGCAAGTTAGCCTGCAGCGGGCTGCACCAGCCGCCCACGGCTCTGGGCTACCGGCAGTGCGGCCAGACTCGGCTGCCAGAGACGCCCGCGGCGTCTCTGCGGGCTGGTCCAGCCAGCTGGGCCGGCGGCGGGAGCCTGGCCACCTCAGTGGCCATCCGTGCGTCACACTGTCCGACCTGTCCCGCACTCAGCGGCGCTGTGTGAGCCCTCCCACAGCCGCAATGGCCACACTAACCAGCAGAGGGTCCCACCCACCCCACCCCCAGAGAGCAGCAGGTCTGCGCTGTGATGGACACTGGCGCTGGCCGCTGGCGTGGCCCCACCCTTCACTGTCCCGGTCGGCGCCTCGATTAGCGCCTGGGTGCTGCGGGAAAGCAGGCTGCGTGACTCCCGGGGAGCAGGTGCCCGCCCCGCTCCCTGGCCAAGGGGCAGGGCCAGGCCAGGACCCTGGGGCCTCCAGCTGCCCAGGGCTGCCCCTCTGCCAGTGGATTGCCCCGTACAGAGTGGCGCTGAGGCCCTGTCACATGTGCGGCGTCCTGCAGAGCCCGGTCCCGGCACTGGGCGGCTCCCAGCTCCCGGGCTCAGCCCCTCCCAGGCCCTCGGCTTCACAGGGGCAGGCAGGTAGAGCGTCCCCGGCCGGGGGGAGCGGGCTCTGGCCGCCCACTCCCACTGGTCAGGGCCTGGTCATGACCCAAGCCCGAGCCCCGAGTTTCCTCAGAGGCTGCACCGCCACACCCTCCCTGGCACCTCGGCTGTAGCCCAGCGCGGGAAGCTATCCGCAGCCGCTGCGGTGACCCCAGCCAGGGAGTGGCCACAGGGCAGCAGACCCCTGCCCCCCGCCCCCCTCAACAGCAGGTGTCGGCAGATCGCCCATCCTGTTCCCACTCTGGCTCTGGGGAGTCCTCACCCCCCCACCTCTGACCTGCACCCCAGCTCTTGGGGGCGCACCGTGGCCGGCAGCAGACACAGCTTCGCCCTCCAGCCTCCGCTCTGCAAGGGGCCTCGGGCGCCTCACTCCAGGCTCAGCTGCCCGCTCAGGCCTTCCCTGCCCCAGCTGACCTGCTGCCCCGGTGAGGCGGGCGCAGCTCCGGCCCGGGGTCCACTCGCTGCTGGGACACGAGGGCGGGAAGACGCGCTCCTGGACAGTTCCGACCCGTCCGGACCGTCTTCGCTTGGGCGTTTCCTAGTTTGCCCTTTAAAAAATCAGAAGCAAGGCTTTAGGCTCCCTGGGGCACAGGGGTTCAGGCTCAGCACTGTGAAGCTCCGCAGCCACGACAGCGCGAGTTCCACTCCCGGCCAGGGAGGGACCCCAGGGCGCCGCAGACCGCTCCTGTCTCCCCGCTGCCCCCTCAGCAGTGTGCTTCGTCGTTCGGCCTGTCCTGCTCCCCTCTGTCTCTGGGGAGTCCTCTCATCACCCCTGCACCTGTGGCCTGCACCCCAGTTCTGTATGCATAAGTCAATCTTTAAACCAAAAACAAGAAACAAGGTTTAATGTCATAAACAATAGAAGTAGGGAAAAGGGGCAAATGCTCTAAAAATAACACTTCCGTGGGAAGCGTAACT